GTAGTTAGTCATTAACAGACCTTGGCTCTCCCTGGGCATGATACCCGAAGAGCAACTAGGTTCACACAGTCGCAGAGGAGAAGGCTGAAGAGGAGGCGTAGCCGCTTTGGACATCCCGAAGATGCACGCGACCAGCATAAGATATTTAAATATACCAGAAACCTGAAATTTTGGAGGATGACAACTGTAGAAAGGCAGGAGCAGCCTTTTGAGGGCTCGGCGCAGGGGTGCACTCTAAAGGACCCTCGGTCGACGTGTAGGTGCAGCCAGAAAGATCAGTCAGCGATTAGTGGTTCAGGTCGACCTTCGACCCCCTCTTTGGTAGGTGAGACACCTACTGCAGGGTGTGAGGTCTCGGGTGCCGACTGTAATGTGGGGCAGCAGTAGCTCAACAGGTTGAGCAGGTTGTCCAGTAATCGGAAGGTTGCAGGTTCGATCCCGGCTCCGGACAGAGAATTCTGCTGTTGTGTCCTTGGGCATTAACCCACCGCCTGCTGGTGGTGGTCGGAGGGACCGGTGGCGCCTGTGCTCGGCAGCCTCGCCTCTGTCAGTGCGCCCCAGGGCAGCTGTGGCTACATCGTAGCTCATCCCCATCAGTGTGTGAATGAGTGTGTGAATGGATGAATGATACACTGTAGTGTAAAGCGCTTTGGAGTCCTTACTCTGAGAGGCGCTATACAAGTGCGGGTCATTATCATTCATTTATCATAATGTTGTAGGATCAGTGATGTCATCAACCCCTGCTTTGGTAGGAGGTGTTCCCACCACAGTGTGAAGGAAGTCAGGGGCAGAGACGACGCAGACACTAGGGCGGTCACTGGCTAGAGAACCTCTAGACTGACTGGTTATCTGGGCAGTGCTGTTGTTGTTTACAACAGCTAAGGTAGAAACGAGGTTCTGGTGGAGCTCCATGGGCAGCGGTTGAGTTGAGTGGAATGATAGGTTTAAAGTGCTTGAGCAGTTCTTCGCCCAGCAGGAAAGGAAAATCCTCGATGTCAGACACAAACACTGGGTGTTTCGCAGACATGCCACCCACTGAAACTTCAAGGAAAGCTACAGACGACAAGGTCATTGGATCTGAAGTTAAAGGATTCATGTCCACGGCGCAGGGTGTGAGCGTTAAGACATGACCCTGTCCAGCCAAAACCAAGCAGACGCTCTCCCAAAGAGAACGGGACATGATGGTGAGGTCCGAACCAGAGTCCAAGATAGCCTCACAGTCACTGGGATGTGTGGTTTCTCCTTGGGGCCTTTACGGGTGATATCACAGAGAAACTTCAGTGGAGGTTTATCTGGTGATTACCTGACCTGCTAACAGATGCACTGGTTGCTAGAGGGCAAGCGCTAACGGAAGCAACCACACCAGACCTCACTGGGGTCACAGGATGCACCGTTGAGGCATGTTTCAGTTTTGGAGGACTCGTCGTTGCATCTGAGTCATGTGCAGGTTCAACAGGTGCTGGAGGATGTGCACTCTATTCTGCAGAAGAGAGGAGAACTATTTTAGTCTTTGATGGGTCTTCATCCAAGACACAAAGTGCATAGTTTAACGCTTTGTGCATGGTCTCAGGAGGCCTGCTACAGGACACAGCTCTTGACCGTGGAGCAGCAGGGCTGTGGTCAGCATGGTCACGGCGCGGCGCATAATGGTAAGGTTGAGGGCGGTGGTCACCTGAGTGGGACGACCCCCCTTTTTGAGACTCCATCCATGAGCACCAATGTGCAGAATGTGGGCTCCTTTTAGTTGTCGTCGTCGTCCTCCTCCGCTTATCCGGGTCCGGGTCGCGGGGGCAGCATCCCAACTAGGGAGCTCCAGACTGTCCTCTCCCCAGCCACCTCCACCAGCTCCTCCGGCAGGACCCCAAGGTGTTCCCGGACTAAATTGGAGATGTAACCTCTCCAACGTGTCCTGGGTCGACCCGGGGGCCTCCTGCTAGCAGGACATGCCCAAAACACCTCCCCAGGGAGGCGTGCAGGAGGCATCCTGACCAGATGCCCAAACCACCTCAACTGACTCCTTTAGATCCCGAGGAGCAGCGGTTCTACTCCGAGTCCCTCCCGAATGTCCGAGCTCCTCACCCTATCTCTAAAGGCTGAGCCCGGCCACCCTACGGAGGAAACTCATTTCGGCCGCTTGTATCCGCGATCTCGTTCTTTCGGTCATTACCCAAAGCTCATGATCATAGGTGAGGATTGGGACGTAGATCGACCGGTAAATCGAGAGCCTGGCTTTCTGGCTCAGCTCCCTCTTCACCACGACAGATCGGCTCAGCGTCCGCATCACTGCAGATGCCAAACCAATCCGCCTGTCGATCTCCCGATCCCTCCTACCCTCACTCGTGAACAAGACCCCGAGATACTTAAACTCCTCCACTTGAGGTAGGACCTCTCCCCCGACCCGGAGGTGGCAAGCCACCCTTTTCCGGTCGAGAACCATGGTCTCAGATTTGGAGGTGCTGATCCTCATCCCAGCCGCTTCACATTCGGCCGCGAACCTACCCAGCAAGAGCTGAAGATCAGAGCTGGATGAAGCTAGGAGGACCACATCATCCGCAAAAAGCAGAGACGAGATTCTCCTGCCACCAAACTAGACACACTCCACACCACGGCTGCGCCTAGAAATTCTTTCCATAAAGGTAATGAACAGAACCGGTGACAAAGGGCAGCCCTGGCGGAGTCCAACCCTCACTGGGAACAGGTCAGACTTACTACCGGCTATGCGGGCCAAACTCACGCTCCTCTGGTAAAGGGACTGAATGGCCCTTAACAGAAAGCCACCCACCCCATACTCCTGGAGCGTCCCCCACAGGGTGCCCCTGGGGACACGGTCATAAGCCTTCTTCAAATCCACAAAACACATGAGGATTGGTTGGGCAAACTCCCATGACCCCTCCATCACCCTTGCAAGGGTATAGAGCTGGTCCACAGTTCCACGGCCAGGACGAAAACCACATTGCTCCTCCTCAATCTGAGATTCAACTATCGATCGGACCCTCCTCTCCAGTACCTTGGAGTAGACCTTTCCAGAGAGGCTGAGGAGTGTGATCCCCCTATAGTTGGAAGACACCCTCAGGTCACCCTTCTTAAAGATGGGGACCACCACCCTGGTCTGCCATTCCACAGGAACAGCCCCCGATGACCACGCAATGTTGTAGAGACGTGTCAACCATGACAGCCCTACAACATCCATTGCCTTGAGCTACCCAGGACGAATCTCATCCGCCCCCGGGGCTCCGCCGCTGTGTAGTTGTTTGACTACCTCAGCAACTTCTGCCCCCGAGATTGGACAGTCCATCCCCAGGTCTCCCGGCTCTGGTTCCTCCTCGGAATGCGCGTAGGTGGGATTGAGGAGCTCCTCAAAGTATTCCTTCCACCGTCCGACTATAGCCCCAGTTGACATCAGCAGCTCCCCATCCTCACTGTAAACAGTGTGAACGAGTTGCTGCCTCCCTCTCCTGGGGCGCCGGACAGTTTGCCAGAACCTCTTTGGAGCCGATTGATAGTCTTTCTCCATGGCCTCACCAAACTCATCCCACGCCCGGGATTTTGCCTAGGTAACTGCAACTGCTGCACCCCGCTTGGCTATCCGGTACCTGTCTGCTGCCTCCGGAGACCCACAGACCAGCCACGCCCTGTAGCCTCCTTCTTCAGCCTGACGGCTCCCCGAACCTCTGGTGTCCACCAGCGGGTACGGGGGTTGCCACCATGACTGGCACCGGCCACCTTGCGACCACAGCTAGCAACAGCCGCCTCAACAATCGCAGAGTGGAACAAGGCCCACTCGGAGTCAATGTCCCCCACTGCTCTCGGGACGCGGTCAAAGCTCTGCCGGAGGTGGGAGTTGAGCTCCTTTTAGTACTCACCGAATCTTTAGCAGAAAGGGAGTATTTGAACCGAGAAGGTTTCGGATACTCCAACCCCAGATACTGCTTCATGGACTGTGACTTCGGAGATGCTCGTGACAGAGCGTCTTGAGCCTCGGTCTCAGATGGATCCACTTGGACCAAAAGAGAGGACTCGGCGTGGGAAGCCAGACCTGTAGAGGACTCTTGAGTGGTCAGTGATGTACAGTTTATTTCTTCTGAAAATATTACCTGCCATTCTTCTGAGTTGAATCATGGTTGTTTTGTTCACATCAACGGCATTCATAGGCCCGCTGATGAAAGGATCGAGATTCTCAAGAAAAAGTTCTTTAAAGTCGCCATTGTCTTCCATATCTAGTTCATTTCAGTAACCAAAGAAGGCATGGAAAAGGTGTCTGTAGAAGACATCTGGATCTTCAAATGAAAGATGTTTGACTGACATTGCAAGTCTTAAACCTGCCGTATCTGCCGTTCCTGTGAATTCCTCCTTCAAAGCTTTGCAGAGAAGGGAGTAGTCACTTTTGACTTCAGGAATTTGGCGATCAATGAAATTACTCACCACAGTGGAAGAGGTGAGCCCGATCAAGAAAATTTTATCAGACAGAGAAGTTGGAAACCTTTCAAAATGGTGTTCAATTTCTCCAAAATATGAAAAAAAAAATTCTAAATTTTGCCAGTAAAACACGGGTGCACGGAAGGAACGTCGTGGCACTGGACTGGAAAGAATGGAAAGTCACAATCCACGTCATAAAATCGTCACTTAAACAAATTAGCTGTGTTCTTGATCTAAAATATGCAGGAAACGTGCTGGAGGCAGACTGCAGCGCCAGGTATGTCGGCACTCTGAAGTTGCAAGTGGAATATTCTGGCCACATGGGGTGATAGAAGCTGAGTGACACTTCATTAACCCTGTAAAGGGTCATTTTAGCACACCCTGGCTCAAGAAATTTATTGAAAACTATGAAAAAGTTGCAAAGTATTCCTTTAACCTGCAAAAATCCCACAGTGAAAAACTAATATATATTATAAATGATTGATTTGTCTGATTTTGAGTGTGTGGGACTTAACCCGAACCAAACTCAGCGTCTGTCTCCACCTGCTGGTCCAACATTGTCCTAATAAAGCGTCCACTCCCCCTGAACAAAGATTTTTTTTATTACACTTTAAACCTTCCATTCATGTTGAATCCAACATAATTCTTTACATTACCAAAAAGAATCACTGTCAACGCTGCATCATAAATATATAGCAATCTCATATATACTTTTATTTGTACACATTCATTTCAAAAATCTGTTTTAAAACTTGTAAAAATAAAGTGTACAACAAACCAGCCACATAATCTGGGAGGGTTTTAGATATGAGCCCTTCTGCCGTAAAGCGTTTGATCTTCTTCCACTGAGATGTATTATTACACAGCCATAAAAGTAAAATGATTTTGACTTTTTCAAATTAAATAAAAGATGTAAAAAAGGTCCTTTTGGATGAAAAGATGCTGAATAAGTGTGTTTATAACAAAAAGTGGAGTGTGTGTGTGACTGATGGTGTAAAAACGGTGAAACTGAGACGGTTTTGGTCATAAAGAGATCAACAGGAAGACACCAAAAAGCATTTTTCTCTGTGCTTATTCTGCCTCTCCTGAGGCTTTAAACTCTTTCTTCTCTTTGTTCTTTTCTACAGTTTAATGGCACAAAATTCCAAATCCTGAAGAGTTTTTTTGTCCTCGTTTTGTTGCTGTTCAATGCCAGTCTTCATCGTCATCATCCTCTACTTCAGATGAGTCTTCCTGGCTGCTGATCTCCACCTGCCGCATCGCTGCTTTTCCAATTCCTCCCTGATGAGCCGCCGCCGCCGCTGCCGCCACCTTCCTGGCTCGAGCCTGAGCTGCTGCCTGCTCCTCTTCCTCCTTCTGACGCAGCGCTGCAGCCTTCTTCTCCTGCTCAGCGTGACTTTTCATGTGGGCGCTGCGACTTTTCACTTTATAAAACACCCTAAATGGAAACAAAACCAAATTAATATTTACACTAAGGCTGAAAGCTACACAGAAAACGCATTTAATGGACTTCCATCGTAACTTTAACCCGTTGCTTTGCTCTGGAGAGCTGTAAAAACATCCAGGAACTTTCTTTTTCCAGTTTAATGTTTTTGTTCAGTCCTTTTTGTTTAGTTTTTTTTATGTAAAACACAGAATATCTGAATTTTTTAATAGAATAAAATATGTATGCCAAAAAAAAAGATGCTGGTTAAACTTTAAATAATAAAATTTCTGCTCTACAGTGACACCCAGTGGTGTAATGCTGTAACTGGAAGACAGATATGTTAAAGTTAAATCATTTTTAAAAGTTTATTTAAATTTAATTATATATTACATAATATTCTGACATTTCCCCAGATTTTTAAATATGAAAAAACTATTTTTAATTCTTTAACTTTAGCATGTTTTTTATAATTTATATATAATTTTATAAAGACTTTTCTCATCTTTTAAACAAATGAAATGTGTAAACTCACAATAACCACCATAATTAGGTTTTCACTTCCATAATCCTAATTTTCATGCAACCATCAGTTTTTTAAGTTAATTATCAGTGCTTAACCCTCAAAACCTTAATCGGTGCATCTCTAAAAAACTGGGAATTTTCATTTTAATCAAGAGAATCAGATAGAATTTGTTATCAGTTCGGAGACAAATGACAAGTCTGCATCCCACCTGCCGCACTTCTTGCACGGAAACACAGCGTCTGGATCCTGCGGGGGCTTCGCCGGCCCTTTGGGCTTCTTTGCTGCAGGATCGGCTCGAGGCCTGTGAGGTCCGGCTGAGTGGTGAACTTCTTTCCTCGCGGCGTCCGGCTCTTTGATCACCAGCACCGTTCCTGCCTGAAGCAACACCAACACACTCGTGTAAAAGTAGAATAAAAAAGCAGGTTTTGGTGTGAAAGCTGCTCTGAAATACTCACGTAGTCATGAACCTGTAGTGACTGAGCTACCCTTGCCTGGTGGCTGCTCTCGTGGCTTTTGTCGCTCTTGTCCTCCTCATCCGCCGCTCCCGGAGTCGGTTTTGGCTGCTGTGAGCTCTGCGATCAACCAGAAACATTTGATTCCATTTACAGGAAAAAACTCTGTTTTCTTCTGTGGGTGAGTTCTCGCTAAATCCCTTCTGCTTTTCCCACGCCGTCGTCTCGACTGATTGCCGTTTAATCCACCGTTTTTCTGCCTAAAACGCTAAAAAGAAGACGAAAGAGTCGGCTCTACCTTGACGTCCACCGCCGTCTCCCAGTGCTTCTCCAGCGGTGAAGCAGGAGGGCCAAAGGTCACGCTGCCGTTTCGCCCGGCTTTCACCTGCTTCTTATACGTGTAGTAGAACTCCACGCACTGAGCCACGGTCTTTGTCCGCACCTTTCAGGCAAAAGCAAACGCACACGATCTAAAGAGTCTACCAGAACTCCTAAAAAGTGCTCATTTGCTACGGTTTGAGCGTTTAAGAGTTGTTTATTGACACATAAGCTGCAGTCTTGAGACGCATGACCGCTACTGCTGATGTTTCTACAAACCAGACTTCCTGCCACAAAGAGGATATGATTTATTCAGTCTGATTATCTTCTCTTTTTAACCTTTTTTTTATAAAAAAAAACATCAGCAAAAGCCTGTTTTTCATTACGTCTGAGAACAATAAATGATCTAATCCACAAAGAAAACCAGATTTTTTTTTCATGGGTAAAAAAAAAGCTACTTTACCAGTTTCTGCACCAGAAAGAAGTCCTTCCTGTAAGCGCTGATCCCCTTATTAAAGTAACACTTCTCCTCTGCAGACCAGCTGTCGGAGCCTGGGGGGCGAAAACACATAAACACGATTTACGAGAAAAAAAATTCACATTTAGAGGGAAACTAAAAGCTGCAAAATACAGTAAAGGCAAAGAGGAGGGATGTAGCGTTTTGACCTGAGTAGTGATAACCTTCCAGGTGATGACCTCTGGGGAAAACAGAGTCGTGAAGCATCAAACGCTCCAGTGTTTCCTTTGCGGAGAGTTTGACAAAACAACTTTTAGGAGAAGTGAAAATAAACTCCCATCTGAAGAATGCATGAAAAACGTGCTGCAGCAGGCGCTTCGGCTCAAACGAATCACCGTTACTCACGAGGATTTTGCCTCCACATTCATGTAAACAGTGTAGAACCAGCTCCTGGTTGGTTCCTCCCCCACTCAAAACACTGGAACAAGCCATGTTCATCAGATCCTCTACTGGGCACGGGAGGCAGAGGGAGAGCATTCATAAACACAGACACACACACGAGATACGAGCAGCGGTTTGTTCTGTGGGAGACTCTTACTGCTATCCCGGGCTCCGGGATTGAAGTCGGATGCATCCGACGGGAGCCAAACCAAGTCAGCTTTGTGCTGGTCGAACTGGGAGGAAGGCAGCTGTTGCAAATCAGGGATTTCTGCCTGGTACTGCTGTCCGATGTTGATCCGCCTGGATGTGAAAATAAAAAACGCGTAGATTTGTGAAGATGTGAGGAACACCCTAAAAACAGCAGAAACCTGCTTCGATGTGAGGCTCACGGTTCAAGGCACACGGGTGTGGCATCAGAGATCAGGGGTAGGACTGGCGGTGTGATGTCTGAACTCACTAAAAGAAACAAATGATGGAAAATTTATTCATTATCCCCCAACAAATTATTTTTAAAAAGCGGAACAGCTTAAAGGTATCCGAGAACCTGAAGACTGGCTGGAACGCAGCAAGCTGCACGTGGCAGACTTCGGTGTCGCCGCTGGGGGGGGCGGCGGCGGCGGCAGGATCTGGTTGCTCACGGCGATGTTGGTGAGGAAGGCGGAGAAGTAGAGCCCCGTTCCCACTCGGATAGGTGACAGGATGGGGGGAGGCGTGTACGGGGGCGGGGCGTGAGGGTTGTCCGGCATGCGAACCGGAGAGCGGAGGTTGCTCTGGTAGGGAGTGATGCTGGAGTAGACGGAGGCGGGGATGAGGGTGGAGGGTTTGGGAAGAGGGATGATGAGAGGCTCGGGACGAGTCCGCCGTTTGAACTTGGACTTCCCGTCTTCATCCTGCCCTGGATCGTTGTCCTCGTCCTGGAACGAAGCGCAGCAGCGCGGTGCACGTTAAAGCTCCAAAAGCAGAAAATGTAAAAGTAAATAAATATTCTAACTGAGAGACTCCGTCTCAGCAGTCCACTAAACCATGGAGTAAATAAAAGTACATTTCTAACCAAAACACTCCAGCGGTCTCTTAAACCACTGCAGCGTGAGCCAACACTTTACCTCAACTCTTAGTGAATCTTTCCTCTTTGATCTCTAAATGCACCAAATATTCACTCCAACCTGGGAAAGCTAAATCCAGTTTGTGCATTGAGCTTTTTTTCTTTTGATCTTAGCATAAATTTCACAAACCTCGAGGCTCATCTCTTCAGCAAACGTTCTTAAAATAAAGACTGAGGTGTCCGTGAGGTTTCTGGTTGCCGTGACAACCTGGACTTGGAGGTTACGTGCGGATCCGAGAACCAACCTGGCTGAAGCTCCCGGCGACCGTGTATTTTTGCGACCGGCGACGAGCCACGATGACAGAAGGCTTGCGATCCGCCGGTCCTGCAGGTCGCTCGCCCGCGCCGAGCCGCGCCTGAGACCAGCCGGCCACGGCTTCAGCCTGGCCCCCCTGCACGGGCACGGACACGGGAATGACCAGCGGCGTGATGGAGGCCTGCCTGCAGGAGGCGCCGTCCTCTGTCTGAGACACAAAGCCAGAGGATGAGGAAAAATGGGACACATTTTCAAACTTTAGAATTAATTATGAGAATGAATCCCAGATACTTCTGGTTAAAATAACCAGAAATAAACTTTTAAGCTGGCCTAAATCCCCTTTATTCTTTAAATTAGAAACATGACATCACAGCAATTACTCCTTATCTCTTCATCCAAAAATGTGCATCTAACCAACCACAGACCAACCGTTCTGGCTCGTGAATAGCCGAGATAAAACCGGTTTGGGGAGAACGGGAGTGTAGCCCTGCAGGTTGACAGCCCGGCCCCTCCCTGCCTCCGCCGAGCAACTGGGAGAAAGGCCTGAGGAATGTGGAGGTGTGCAGACACGCAGCTGCTCCAACCGTACGGTCGGCGTGCTCGCTCTGCACCACAATCCAGAACGAGCCTCCCAACTCGTCCGAGGCGGAGAACCCCCCCCCCCACCCGCGTCTGAGTATTTACCTCCCTCGTAGCAAAAGCTGCTACACAAGAAAACAACTCGTCTAGGTGGGGGCTCCGCCTACTTTGTAAACATTCTAAATCCTGAATGGCGACAGGCTCGGCTTTCTCACAAAGACAATAACCTCCTTCTTAATGTTGAATAAATCCAAAATCCTATCTGTTGTTGCAGCAGCTGCTCGGCTGGTCTGCAACAACCTTCGGCGGCCGAGGCGCGACAGCTGCAGCAGTCGGATAAACAATCGTAAGAAGGGATTTTGTAAACCAAAGGGAAGTTCTGTATTGAAACAAGGCTCTTCCTCTTTGCTCAGCCGTTCGCAAAATTAAAAAATCTGCCATCACTTGCACAAATCAGTAAGCTTTGCTGTTCCCAGTTAGCCTATAGCCTGTTTTAAACTCTTTTTTTCTGCTGTTAGTTACAATTTTTAAACACCTTAACCACTTTAGCAGGCAGAGACTCCATTTCTGACGCCTTCTGAGCCAAAGTCTCCAGGTTTATCTCCTTGGATGCTCTCCTCCTCCGACGGGTGATCTGTATGACTCCTCCTGACGCCGCTTGGCTCTCCCCTCCTCTTGCAGCCGGAACCACTCCATTCTGGGATGGAGATGGCTCTTTGGTGGCTTGAGACCAGATATTTGTGGAAGGGGGACCCAGCGGGGACTGTCCCTCTCTGGAAATGCGACGCGAGCGCCGAGGGCCAGCTGGCGCCACCGCGTCAACCTTCTCGGAGTGCTGATCTAGTAAAGCGTCTCCCGTTTGGGCCTCCGGCTGCAGCTCTCCTAGTTGCACCTCTTCTGTTTTAACCCCAGAGTCGGGAGGATGAGACTCGGGATGCTGATACGCTCCAAAGTTTTGGGTTTGTTGTTGTTTTGGTTGCGCCTGAGGTTGTGTTTTCTCTTGTTGCTGTATCTGCTGTTGCTGCATTTGCTGTATCTGTTGTTGGTGATACTGTTGCTGCTGCAGCTTCTGCAGCTGTTGCTGCTGCATTTGTTGCTGTTGGATTTGGTGCTGCTGCTGCTGTAGTTGAAGGTGGTGTTGCTGGTGCATATGCTGCTGTTGTTGTTGTTGTTGTTGTGGCTGCTGCTGATGCATTTGTTGCTGCTGCATCGGGTGAATAAGCTGCTGCTGAGGCTTAGGCTGCTCCCCGTAGATCGTCTTATTTCCGGGGAAAACTGAGTAATAATTAGACGAGAACTGTTGCTTGTTGGGTCTGAACAACGCCTGAAAAGGCTGCAGAACGGGTCCCTGCAGCGTGTGAGGGGGCACGTGAGGTTGACCCTGGCTGTGCTGGTAGGCCTGTAGCTGAGCCTGATGCATCGCCGCTGCAGCATGCTGCTCCCACTCGAGCCCCCTCCCCTGAGTTTGAGCCTGGGCGGCATCTCTGTACTGCTCTACCGGAGCCGGCAACTGGTTCTCCCCTCCCATCGACATGGGGACCCCTTCGTGGACTCCTTTGTGGAAGGCCATCTGATCCCTTACATTCACACCACTCGCGTAGGGGCCGAAGTTCTGACCCCAGGCTTGCATTGGAGCATCCTGGGACCAGCTGGACGCCTGTAAGGAGTCCTGCATCCACTTCACCGGCGCGCCCTGCTGATAGTGCGGCAGACTTTGGTGCCCTTTCTCTGGGTTGTACACACTGGAGCCGCTGGCAGAGTCGCCGTGGCTCGGCTTTAAAACCGGAGGGCCCATACCATAATAAACCTCCCCCGAATGCTGCACGCCCTCTTTCATGACTGGAGTCTGATGCTTGCTCTTGTCAGTATTAACCTGAGACGGGAGACTCATAGCAGTAGCCTTTAGAGACGATGTTCTTAGTATGAATCTCGGAGTGTGCAAAACTTGGGTAATGCCTCTGTAGTGTGCTCGTGGAACTCTTTTAATTGTGTATACAGAGGGATCTGGGAGGAAACATAAATCCCAAAGGAAAGTGCAGGGTGGGGGAACATGCGGCCCACTTCTCAGCAATTAAATGCGAGAGGTCTGCTGTCCATTCTTCTCATCTTCCTCAGGGAGCCAGACCTTATGAGAAAGAGAGAGAGGGGAGTCGTAAATTTGTTTTTATAGGAGGAGAAGCGTAAAGAGTTTAGTCGACATGCAGTCGCCTGCAGCAAAGAGGAAACTGAGGCCTACACTAGCACACAGCCCCGTGCGAAAAGTGAAATTAACACGCAGGGCAGAGGATAAAAGCTGTATTTTGACGTACAAGACCAGGTGCGTGCAGAGGAGACGTTACAAGCTGAAGTTCTGCGGCGGCAGGTAACAGGAAGCGCCCGCAGAGGAGCTGCCATTTGGCACAACAAGAAATACAGGAAACGAAGGGGCTCGTGCAATCACCCGAGCGATAGCCAGTAATGTAATGTTACAAATGAGCAACAAGGAAGCGTCAGAGGAGCTGCGTGCAGTCAGACAACGCCGCAGATTAATGCGCATTATTCAGGACAGGGAGTGCGCCTACCTTATCAGAATAGTCCCCGAGCTGCTCCATGGAGTCCCGTTGGTTTCGATCAAAGTCGACTTGCACGCAGCTCCATGCAGGGTTTGTGCGCAGCGAGTGTCATAACTCTGACAACTTTCCCATCGAGTTTCACTGACTGCGCACAATATGGCGACTTAGCGATAACACGGAAAGATACCCCGCACAAGTTGCCCCGACTGGCACGGAAGGCTCCTCAACGGCGTGGTTCCAACGTTGCACAGCGTATCTGTAAAAACGCACACTTCCAGGAAAACATGTCCACAACTTTCCCCCAACACACACTCCACCACAGCCGTCTCAACGGGTAAAACACGCATGAGGCAAAATGCTGCCGCGCTGCGGCGGCTGCTGGTATTTTCTCGGATTTCAGCACTGTCGCGTTTCAGTTCCGCTGTGTCGAAAAGGCTGCTGAGGCTTATCCAGACTGTTCAGAGCGCTGCGAAACTGCGCAAATGCGCAAAAACTTGGAGGTCCGCAAACGCACCGCCTCACCCCAAAACAGCTCGATTCACATCCTGTTATCCAATCCCATCGTCTAGCCACGCCCATTGCTGTATCCGCGTGCGCTTGTTTAGATGTCGCGAACCGCCCGGAGGAGGGGTCTCATCACACGGACTGATCTTTATAGGACGACGCCGAGATTTTAGACACGCTGAGGTGAAATCCAAGCTCGTTCTTTATTTTTATATGCTTTATGCGACAGAAATTAAATTATAATCTATTTTTTGAGAGCGTATTCTATTAAAAACCTGTTAATAGTGAAGTGGTCGCCAATTGTGGGTCGTGAAACACTAAAATAGAGATTGTATATAATTTACAGAAATAAAAAAGAGAAAAATGAATGCTTTCACTAAAATTGATGTAAATGTTAAAAAAGAGTAAAAATAGAAATAAGTAGTGTAAGCAGAGTCAAAGCCAGTCGTGTGTTCAGTATTCACTTGTTTATTCAGCTTTTGAGCAATGTTTGCACACTTCTGAATGATTGACTTTATTATTTTGTGGGTCAGAAGCTTAAAAAAACGTTTAAGAATTTTTTTCAGAATCCTACCAACAACATGTTTTAAAATATAAATAGTCATCTTCTTATGAATAAAAATAAATAAATTGCAGCTTTCTCAGTTCATTTTGAACACAGAGGTCAGTCACCTTGATCTCACTGACTGATCTGTGAAATACTGCTATTGAGCCCCACGTTTGACATGTTTGATTTTGAAAACCCAGCTAGCTCCACAGTCCTGTTTGTGATGCAGAGATCTTGCTGATCATGACACAACTCTGCCTTCCAGATTCTGCAATACACCTTAGATCATCTCAATTTTGCAATTGTTAAAATATTTAGGAAAAACAGTTAAAATATTAAGTGAAAAAATATGCTAAATTAAGAAGTATAGTCTTACCTTGTCCTGTTCCACCCTATCCTATCCTCAACTAAACTATCTAATAAATTAAGCTTCATTTCCGTTGTAAAGTACAGAGCATTACCAACAAGAATGAACATTATGGACATCTATATCATAGAAACATGTATAAATAATAGTAAATAATACATTAGAAAATCCTGTCATTATATTTAAAATGTTGTTTGACTAAGAACTGAAATGTGAATATCTTCAAAAAATAACCTTGTGTGTCATCAGCAAATGTTAAAACAGACATTTCAAAATTATTTCTGCACGTTTTAAAACTAGTATTCCTTTACAAATGACAATATTTTATAACGTGAATTTTGGACATTATATTCTCTGCTCTGATTTGAAGGAATGCATTATTAATGAGTAAAGCTGTGGTGATGTGACTGTACAGCCGTCCTGCCCTTCTCGGATGCAGGAGGTTTCTGACCATTCAGAACGCTCAAGGCGCGTGACGTCATCAAGGATAGGCATCGTTCCCTATCCTTGCCCGCTAGCGGTGGCTAATCTTAGCTGCTATGGTTCACCACCACTTTTCCTAAATAAAAAGCTGCTTGGAATGGCTCGCGTGGCTCAGAGCGGATTTAGGGAATGGAGACTTTTTGGATTTAATGAACTAGCTGGTGCCACGAGGGCACACCGAAGCGAGGTAAGCGGTCAGAGGGGGTTATCCTCCTAACGGTGATCCATAGGGAAAGATGCTAATTAGCCACCGCCGCCGCTGCCGCAGGAATGAACGCTGTTAACATGAGATATAAATCAAAACTGTTTTATCTTTTAGACCACGTGTGTAACATTTGCATTCAGTGATTGCCGCTGTGTTTTCGCTTTGAATAAATGCTGCAAAACAACCGCTACTAGTGTTTTATTATCTGCTAGCTAACGTGTTAAACCAGAGACGTGAGAAGCCGTCTAATCAGCATGTTCCTGTCAGAGCGCAGCGACATCCTATCGTTCTTTTAAGCTCTCTGTGTCTTTAGCAGCGTAATGGTGGATTTAAAAAGATCTCCTTGTTTGCAGTGAAAAGCTTGCGACACCGATGCCAGGTGAAGGCTGCAGCTGAGACCCAGGATGAGTGGAGCTGTGGAGCACACAGACATCCTGTCAGTGGGAGATGTGGTCAGGGACAGGTGGAAAGTGGTGAGTGTTTTTAAAGAAAGAAGAATCAGCTGATTTTTATTTTATTTAAGTTATTCACAAATACAAACATATCATATTTGGTAAACAATTACAATGTGAATCTTTGAACCAGAAGAATACATAGGAGAGAAAGGATGGAAGAAAAAGAAACAAAGAAGAGTCAGCTGATCACCACTTCTTGCTGCCTTAATTTCAGGCGAGGAAGATAGGTGGAGGGGGTTTTGGGGAGATCTATGAAGTTCTGGATCAGCTGAGCCAGGCCACCGTTGCCTTAAAAGTTGAGTCCGCCCAGCAACCTAAACAGGTGCTGAAGATGGAGGTGGCTGTGCTAAAGAAACTTCAGGGTAAGTCATGCTTTTGGACAGAGTAACAGAGGCGTTTCTCGTGGAGTAAGAAGATTTGATCAAAGGAGACAACAAAAACTACACTGACTGTCACAATTCTTCTGTTTAAATCATTATGATTGCTCGTTCTTTCAGTTTTACAACAATGGTGTCAGCTGCTTACTTTATACAAATTTTTTATTTTGCTTCAAATTTAGTTATCAGACTGTTCATTTTCCATTTAGCTTTAAACCAAAAAAGCGGCCAAACGTTTCTGAAATAGAAGTTTCTAAGGATGCTAAGGTTACGTGTCGGGGTGAAACACATAGTCCTGTTGATCTAATCAGAAGGGGGAAACTAAAGCTGTGTTTTAAATTGCTAGATTCCCTCACGTTGTTTACTTATTTGACAAAAGTCTTCGCGATCCTGTTTAATATTTAAATTCCGTTTGCTGTGTGTCCCTGTTTTGTTCTTTACCACGACTGCAACATGTCGACCTCTGCGAACTAGAGATGTTGTCTAGAATAAACCGAGTTTCTCTGACAGGAAAAGACCACGTGTGCCGCTTTGTGGGCTGTGGCAGGAACGATCGCTTCAACTACGTGGTAATGGAACTCCAGGTGAGCTCCTCGCCTCTTGTCGGTCACCAAGTTCATCCAACGTTTCTTCCCTGTCATGCCGCAGCACCTTTTTCCTGCTCCACAGGGGAGGAATCTGGCCGATTTGCGCCGGACAATGACCCGTGGCACCTTCTCAGTCTCTACAACTCTACGACTGGGCAAGCAGATGTTAGAGGCCATCGAAAGCATCCACTCCGTCGGCTTTCTGCACCGTGACATTAAGCCAGTAGGTTTACCTGCAGGTGTAAAAAGTCGACTGGATTTCCCAAACAAAATTACAAACACAGTCAACCTTGTTTTCCTGTTCAATTTGAAGTCAAACTTTGCGATGGGAAGACTTGCTAGTACCTGCAGATGCTGCTATATGCTTGATTTTGGTTTGGCTCGTCAGTTTACCAACTCCAATCAAGAAGTCCGTCCAGTAAGTATTTTATGAACTTCACTAAAAGACATTCTTTAACTATAATCCCTGTCAAAAAACACGTGACCATTGAATATTGTTTACACCGCTAATATCAACATCAGCTCAGTTGGAAAAAGCGTTTCAGTTTTTCTTTCAGCGCCTGTTTGACTAAGTTTCTGTTCTCTTTTCAGCCGCGTCCAGTGGCAGGTTTCAGAGGAACTGTGCGATATGCTTCGGTCAACGCTCACAAGAATAAGGTACGGGTTGACCACATTTTTCCTCATGAGGGCAGATTCAGAAGGAAATTCACCCCAAGTCTGCTGGGAAGCTGCAGTAAACATGTTTGGAAATGCCAAGAGGATGATTTGCATTGTTGAAACGATACTTTTAGAGCATCTTGTTTACAACTTATTTACTACTCTTTTTGTCAGTAAACTGCTAAATAATTCATTTATCTCCACCAAACCTCTACGTTCTCTATAACTTCGACTCCTTAGTCTCGTGTGTCTGCTTTTGCAGGAGATGGGCCGCCACGATGACCTGTGGTCTCTCTTCTACATGCTGGTTGAGTTCATGGTTGGCCAGCTTCCCTGGAGAAAAATTAAAGACAAAGTACGTGTTAGCACGGCCACCTCCCATCTGGAGTTCAGACGCACACGAATGTCGCTTTTCCACCTTCTCGTTCCAGGAGCAAGTGGGAAATCTAAAGGAGACGTACGACCACAAACTCATGCTGAAGCACCTTCCGACGGAGTTCGGCACGTTCCTGGATCACATCATGACCTTGGACTACTTCACTAAGCCTGACTATCAGGTTGGCCATGGTTTTTAACGTTTGCCTGTTCCCCTGGCTGTCAAATGCTGATGCTTGTTGTTTTGTTTTTTTTTCCTCATGAGACAGTTCCTGATGTCGGTGTTTGAGAAGGCCATGAAGAGCCACAATGTGCTGGAGAATGACCCCTATGACTGGGAGAAATGTGATTCAGAGGATATGCTGACCACCACTGCCGCAGCAAACACAGCTCAGCAGCTCACTCGCCTCACCCCAGCGTACCTCGGGTCCTGGAAGCTTCAATTTAAAAAAAAAACTGTCACTTATCTTTTTATTGTCATTTAAGCCCTTGAATTTTTTCATCCTCATAAGCACTTACTGCATTTTCACTCAGATAGACTCCAGCTGCAAGTTTTTCAGATCAACACCCGGAGAAATCACCGCTCTAAATTAAAGAGCTTGCAGGGTGACCTTCCTTTTTTTTTTTGTCCCAGCAGCATGGCCAACGCTTCGGTGCTGCCCGGCGAGCTGCAGAGAGAAAACACAGAGGATGTCCTTCAAGGGGAACGCCTCAGCGATGCTGACAACTGCCCCCCCATCCCGACGCCGACCACTCCCGGTGCAGATGTGTGGGAAGAGATGGACCGCAGCCGCAACCATAAACACGCGCAGGCGCAGATCAGGAAGGTTAGAGTGGGGCTGTTAACGGCGCGAAGCTTTTAGCTCTCAGCTGCTGTAGATTAATGCAGCTGCTTCGTGCATCGGTCAGCACGTCGTATGTTCAAGTCTTTGGCGTTCCGAATTCATTACCGTATAGTTTTTGCATAAATGTACTTTGCCTCGGCGTCTCTTACGGCAGGCAATCACACAAACATCACTTCCTGTCTCAGACTCTTTTTGATGTCATCTAAATTCAGGCAGAGATGGATATTTTTGCTTCAGTTCCCAGATTTTGAGCCTCCTCTGTATGTGCTTGTGTCAGGTGGTGAGTGAGGATGAAAATAGTCAGAACCAGGGGAACCAGAGTCCCAACACTGGCTCCGTGCAGAGTTCCCCTAGACGGGTGAGGTCAGAGACCATGTTCTTAGACCGAGCTGCACCGCTGCTCCGCAGGATGAGGCATAGCCAGAGCTTGGCTTTTGAAAAGAGGCTCGCACCTGAACCAAAGCCCACCATCGAACGCTTTCTCGAGGCTTAGTAAGTCCTCAGTGTAAATTAAAATGAGCAAATGTTTGAATCTAAAATAGAAACTTTTCTTAATGCTTTGAATCTCACCCTGTTTTTTTTTTTTCAGCTTAGGCAAACAGCGGCCCGTTCTTTGTCATGTTGAAGAAAAATCTATACCTGAAAAGGGGCACGGCCGGCAAACGCCGTCCTGCAACGAGGATCAATCCGGCACAGCAACTCCCGACCCAGAAGACGCCGCAGCAAGCAGTGGCTTTGTGGCTGTCAACGTCAGCCCCGTTCCTCAGGAGGCAGACTCTCAGGAGTGGGTGATGCTGGAGCTGGAGCAAGGCGGCGGCTCTGGAGGATGCAAGCCTCCAGCTGATGCTCTTGAAAACAAAACAGAGTCCTGTGTTATAGCTGAAGCTGAGAACCGCTCCTCTGAGCCGCAGGATGGCCAGACGAGCCCCGCAGTGCCCACCAGCCCCGTCCTGTCGCAGATGGCCATGCCTGGCACGTGGTTACTGGGCCACCGGAGGCTGCCAGGGATGCTGGGACAAATGCCTTCAGTCATGATGGGACGAGCCCAGATGGAGCAGGTACGAGAATGGTGTTTTAATGTGAGGAGTTCTGAGTCTAAGGTCAACTCCGTTCAGAATGCTTTAAATAGGAGAGGCTTGTATTCTCCATATGCTGAACTGAATTAATCCACATAAAGTGTTATTATTGTGTTTAAAGGGACTATAAGGAAGTTTGACAGCCAAAACGTATAGAAATAATAAATGTCTTCTTCATACATTCTCCTGCAATGCCCTGGTCCTGTAGAATGAGCCCTGGCATTTTTACTGTGATTGCCTGTTTTTCTGTAAAATCACAGAAAAAGAGAGCTGCTCGGGTCGAGCAGGCTGCTTCATGCGCGTTCACGCTCAGGCATCGCCCGTAGCATTTGCTATCCGTAGCTTTAGCAGCAGAGAGAGAGGCAGTGCCACTTTGTCGCTGTTCCTAACGCCTAGTGACAAAGCTAGCTACATTTCTGAGGACCCTTAGCTACTTTCTGTAGAACTTCCTTCTAGATATTTCCTGCAAATTAGCAACAAAATAGTCATTTTCGCTACGAACCGTTCTTTGAACTTTGTTTCAGCTGTCATCAAGGATATAAATGCTACAGATACAAAGGACATCACTGGTCCTTTAGCTCGCAATCGCGAGCATAAAAATTCAAAAGTCCGTAAAGTCCCTTTAATTGTTAGGTGGCTCTTCACTTCACAATCCACATAAATGTTTAAAAAATCAAACTTAGAGCACAAATAATAAAATACTGTAGAAAGAAATTATAAATATTTACAAACAAGGAAGAACATATGAAAGGTTCTTTAGAAATGAGTCATTAAAAGTACAGCTACTTTAGGATTACTTCAAGGAGAGTCTGTAATTTCAGTAATTAAAAGAAGACTTACTCAATGGTAACTACATTTAAATGTTTGAGATTTTTAAGTTAAACATAATAATTTTCACATTGTGTATAAATGCTACCTTTGTGGCGTTTATTGCATCTGACATATCTGAACAGTTTAAAAAATAAAAGCATTCTAAAGCTGTTCTTTATGCTTTTGTTGTTGACTGTTCTCAGTCCTCCAGCTGCACGCCGCTGTCACCTGTACAGAAGAGTGATGCAGCACCTCTAGAAGAACCTTATAAATCTGACCTGAGTGATGGAGGGAAGTTGGTCTCGGTCCCAGTTCTGAGCCACGTCAAAGGCCCTGCATCTCATCTGACAAACGACAGAGATCCAGAGAGTGATTCTGGGCTTCCCGATCGCTCCTCCGAACCGAATCAGCAACCTCAAGTTGACACAGCAGGGGGCGCTGTGGAGAGCACTGTCACAGTCTCCTCTTCTCCTCCTCCTGCTCTGCTGAGAAGAAGAGACTCTCCCTCGTCCCCAAGGCTGAGTCGAATCCCAATACGAGATTCCAGCAACCCGTTAGACTCTCTGAGCAGGGATCCACACATGGATAGGCGTTATCGCTGGAGCAGTCCAGCCCCCGGGTCCCCAACACACTCGCCCTCTCCCTCTCTGTCCTGCGACAACCTGCCCTGCGCCCTGCTGAGAGACAGGCTCTCCTCAGAGCGGGGCTCCAGGTCCGACTGCGCAGGAGAAGACCCTCTCTCCCTGTCGTCTTCATCAGGAAGTAAAAGTAAAATCCCTCGCCCTGTGAGCGCCACGTTTCTACCAGACCAGCTCACAAGCAGGTTTTTGCCTCGACCTCCTCCGGGAAAACCGCCCATCCGCCCGAGTGTCGATAGTAGGTATGTAGAAAATGTCGCTGCAGTACACTTTTAGTACTGTTCCTGTCTGAACATATCTGTTAAACGTTTGAAACACATTCATCAGGGATAGTTTGTGTTTACCACCCACAGAAGGGAATCTGTTGAAGAGCATTTCAGTAAAATGAATTTCTTTTCCCTGTTCTGTCCTCCAGACGACGGCGGTTAAGGGTGCGTGCCAGTAGCACCAGCGATGCTGACTTCCTGGCCAGTCTGACCCAGCTGATGCAGGATCGTGGCGGGCTGCTCTTCAGCCCTTCTCCTCGCCCACGCAGCTCCTCCTCCTCCCTGCAGCGCTCGCTAAGCTCCTCCCCTACCCGACAAGAGCTCTGCGAAAGCGGGACACTGCAGAGACGCAGTCGCTCACCATCCAGCCTCTCGGGCTCCCCTCCTCCTCGGCACGCTCAGCCACAATACCGGGCCACAGAACCGGGTCAGTGGAGCCACAGCTCCAGAGGGAAAGGTCCGCTTCACGAGGGGAAAGGCTCTGGGAAATTGACTCGATGAGTTTTATCCTCACACAAACGACTCATCCGGAATGTGCAACTGATGGGAGAGAGGCCGCCTCACCTCCAGTCCCTCATAGCATGTGTACATATGGCATTACTCAAGGGAATGTACTGTATGTAATGTAAAATGTATGATAAATTGTATTTATTTATTTATTTATTTGTTCGGATGTGGGAAAATGTTGAGGGAATCTTAAGCTTGCCAATGTTTACCTCTCATTTCGCTACTCTTATCGAAACTCCACATAGACCTAACGAGACCAAAACAGTCAAGTTTAAAGTCGAAAAAGATCTAACTGTAGATATGTACCATAAATAAAATGGTAATAACCACAAAACCGTGTACTTGCCATTAGGAACACTAATAATAAACACTGATGTAAATCAGCATTTCTGTACAAAGCATGCAGCCTCACAATGATCTCTTTTTATTTATTATAATAATGAATTGCTCATTTTTGGCATATCTTAGTGTTATAGTGTGCTTTTACTCCACGCAAAAAATCTTGTCCTGCAGCCACCATCGGCTTATTAGAACGTACATTTTAAGTGCACACTCACTGTTGTAAACATGCATGAATATATTTGCATTTTTTTATGTTTGTACAATCAGCTGATGCGTCTGTATTTTTATTGAACTGCTTCTCATCAAATACATCCCAATGTAGACTAGCAGTGACTCGCATTTTATTGCTTCATGGAAACAAAAACGGAACAAGAATAAAATAAATCAGAGTCTTGTTGGTGCTCCTGGCTCAGAGACACCTGGGAATAACTGCACTAATGACGTTTAATAAGTGTGCTAATGGGGCGGGGGGGGGGGGGGGGGGGGGGGGGACTTCTACTCAATAAAGGCCAATGAGTCATTATTTGAGAAAGTATTTTTCTAGTAGATTACCATTTTTCATTTTTATAGATCCATCCGTCATCATCCACTTATTGGGTTGGGTCACGGGGGCAATAGCCCAAGCAGAGAGGACCTGACTTCCTCTCCCTAGCCACCTGGGCACATTCCATGGCCAGCTGAGAAACAGTCCCTCCAGCGTGTCTTCTTTCAGGTCTCCTCCCGGTTGGACGTGCCCAGAAAAGGTTTTTGAAAAAAGTATCACAGCGACCAGCGTCCCGGCATGCGTTGCAATCACTGACGCAATACTCCTTGTTTCAATACGACTATTATTTGCACACTTGTGTATTACGCACTCGAAGCCTTACAGCACATCTTTCCTTTTAACGCACTGGTGAGTGACCCTTTATTTGCAATCTTATATCTAAAAAGGTTTTTCTTGAATTACATTTAAAGAGCAAGTCACCCACTACCAGAGTTTTACTCCACTCCCACTTCCTGTTTGAAAAATGCAACAAACGCTGTTGCCTGGCAGACCGAGAGGGCGGAGTCGCTAACAAATGCACACACACAGGCTCACAATGACATTGTGACATCATAATGTACTTGCTAATGTCACAGGGTATCTCTAAGCCAATGGCAGATTTAAAGATAATGGCCAGAGGCAAAATTCCTTTGAATGGCAAAGTATTAGAACATCAGATGAAAAAGATTTTTGGATTTTAATTTCTGGAATTTAAAAAAATGTTGATGTTTTTGACTGGCGTGGGACAAACAGAAAGTAACTTCCGGCCCAAACCCTGGACAGCTGGTGATGTTTCACAAAGAGCTCTGCTGAAACAGCTATTGACCCTTTGCACGTGACGTCACGCCACTCATGTGACCGCCCCCTTTGCCACGATGGACGGCAAAAAGACCGTTTACACCCATTGAAACTCCAGTGAAGGTAGGCAAAACAAGCCCGTTTGTAGCCTTTTATCGCTTTTATTTAGTTGATTTGACAGTAAAATGGTTTTAGCTTGCTGCGTGGTCGGCTGCACTGACAGACAAGGACGTAAACTCAACTCATTTTTTTCTTTTTAATAACTTTGATGGAGACTGAGGACGGAGATGAACTGCAGCGATCAATCAAGCGGACTAGCAGCCCTCAGATTTGCAGCGAACGTGTTTTTACCGGTTAAGATTAACGTTCATTTATTTCACGAGGAAGACAGGGACAGGGATAAATGTGATGTGTTTATACTAGTTATTGATAATCCTGATGGATGGTATTTCACCACGGAGGCTGCGCTCCGTCCACTGTAGTGTAAAGCGAGATAATTTTTAACAATATTAAAGCTCCGATGTATGATTACGTGTGTTAAAATTATGTTATTTATTTATATGAGCGTCCGAGTTCAGAGATCTTCTCATTCCGGTGTGAGAGCAGCAGCTGAACCCGGTAACACCACCAGCAACAGAAGCTGGTAGGGATCTGGACTTTTTAAAAATCAGCTTTGGTGTAAAGTGAAACGCTGTTTACAACATAAAGTTATAAATCCAGAGGGGTGAATTCAGGCAAAGTCAGCAACATGTTTACATCAGTGAACAGCTGCAGAGAGAACGTAAGCTAACGTTGGTAAGCTAGTTAGCATCCTGCTCTCTATGAGCCCCCGCTAGATGCGCTACTTCTTCTGATAACTGAACTGGGCATGAACTAGTTGAAAGAATGCTGGAGGAGTTTTGTTTTTGTTTTGATCGTAAAAACAATTTCAGACTCTACTTTTCCCTTTGTTTAGTACTAGTGTCGCTCACTGTTTACATGCTTTTGCCGTCCACCATGGTGGACCTATGTTATTAGGTGACGTTGGTGCAAAGGGTCAATAGTAAACAAGCCCCGACTCCGGTGTTTCTGCATCAGTGTTATAGCCAGGGCCAGTTCTATAGGGGCCCGGGCCCCTGTGGGCCCCCGTTTAAAACCGCCAATGCAGAAAATCGTGAGTTGAACCGAAATCGCAATTTCTGCTAGAAAAATTGCAATTAAACTTTTCCTAAAATTGTTCAGCCCTAATAAAGACTAATACATGAATATTTGAGATGACTTCTTTTTCTAGTAGCTTACAAGATTTTATTTTTCTTGTTATTGATGTTAGTCTAAAATAGCAAATATCTACACAAGATTTTTAGGGTTTTGCTCTGATGAACCTTATAAACGAAGGTTGTTAGGAAAAAGGTTATAGAATTAGGCTTATTTGTTTAGAAAACATGAGTGAAATATAAATCAAAAATGGTTTATTCACAAATTCTGTCAAGTGAAATTTATGGCATGTTTTCTTCAATCATAGAAAGGTATTTCTGTTTGGATGCATCTTAAAAAGCCATTTAAAGGAGGCTTAATACTCTAAAAATGTGAGTTAAGGTCAGTCGGTCTAGAAGAGTGGTGCAGACTGTCTGGGGTCATCTGGGAGAACACTGATGGAGTCCTCTGCCTTTCCACACAGCATGCAGAGCATAGTGTACTCCTGGATAATAAAACACGCATGAAAGACTAAATAAAGCAAATCTGTTACACTTTCATTAGATGAGTATTTGTAGTAAATAGATCACCTGGTATTCATCCACAACAGAGAAGGTGTATTCGTGTCTGGCAATGACATGGTCACAGTTTGTGCAAACATCTAGAAAGACACAAGTAAATTAGTTGATTACTTTGGATGCAAGAAACCAAATATGAGTTAAAGTTTCAGGCTTTAAGCCTTCAAGACAGAATCAGGAGTGCATTAAATAATGATCATGTGGCTCTGATATCGGTGGTGCCCCCAAGGGGTGGCCAAGAAAATTTTCTTGGTGTGCCACTGTCTGATTTTATTTCTGGAACAAATAGGTCCTATGTGGTGTTAGAGTCCTAGTTTTGTGTTCAAATTAACCACGGCACTAACGATTATAGGTGACTATTTCCTCCCCATCATCGTCATCACTGGATTTATTGTTGATCAAAACAAAGTCCCTTTGATGACAGTTCGCACAGCCCAGGTAGTTCATCAGATAGGAGCCGTTCTCCAGGCAAGTGTTACCCTGAACAAGAAATAAAAAAGGAGAAAAAGATCGTTTCGGGCACACCTACAAAGCAATCTGTTAATTATTATTTGTGGGTGTAATAACTACTTATTAGCTTGCATTACGGCAAAGTTCAAAGCAGCCTTCACTTACCCTGTCCGGATACTCTTTAAGCACACAGCTGTTGCACATTTTAGCTTAAAAAGAGTTTTAGATTAAATAAAAACCAAGTTTCGAAACACTTCACAGTAAAGAGCTAACCTTTAGCTTTCATCCTGTAGCATAAATTACACTTCCGTACAAAAAATGGTGTTTAGCTGAAGTTTATTAGAGCAGTAAAACACCTTGGTCTTGGCAGTAATGGTGAAACGTAAATTTCTTCACGTCCATATGTTTTGTATGTCTAATAAGCGCCTTCAAACTTCCGGTATCTACTTTTTGCGAAAGGGTGATTGGTCAACGTGGATTGTACGTAAAAAAACGTTAGTAAAAATGGCGGCACATTAGCTGTGGTTCTTGTTACCGCATGCTTGTTATGTGAAATTTTAAGGTAATCTTGATCTAATGTGTTTTCTATGACTTTGCTGGATGTAATCGTTCGTGTACGACTTGGCTTGACGCCCTTAACGTTGTCAATCATTTGTATGACTGGTATTAAAGACATTCTGGTGTAGCTGTTGCTAACTTCCATCCGCTTCCAACGTGTTTCCCATCAGGGGTACAGCGCTGCTTCAGAACCACATTGTCATGTTTTGATTTTTGCTTATTGTGATTAAAAAAAGTGCTCCAAATTTATAAATGACAACTCCTTCATGTTACCGTCTTAAGTCTGTGTTTAAAACGTAAGTCTTATCTTGCTTGTTTTTTATTTCATGTGTTCAGAAATGGCAGAAGTTAAGCCCCTAAAGGTGAAGGAGCACAAAGCACCAGATAAAAAATCTCCAAAAGGCTCCAAGAACAAGAAAAGCGTCTACTGTCCTTTGTGTCGCAAGTGGCATTTAAAACATGTGAGTGGATTTATAGTGATGACTTTGAATCTTATCGCTGATTGAAGTATTTTTGAGTTTCAATTCTAACTTTATGCTGCAGAAGGGACATGATCATATGCACAGCTTGCAGCACCACCAGGAGCTGGAGTCGGTGCTGGGCAAGTGAGTACCTGTCACTAACAATTCAACCGGTGTGCCTAAAAAAGTGGCCTGTGTGTGCATATGTCCACTGACAGTTTATTCCACTCGATCAATTTTTTTAAATGTCTTCATTAACAGGGACGCTTGTCATGACTGCCAGGCATGTAAGATCAAACTATCGGGGTTGAATGAATACATAAAGCACATCTCAACATCTCAACACACAGCCAAGTTGAATAGTTTGAAGACCAGAAACGTTAAGCCTGTTAGTCTGTTCAAGACCCTGGGCCCTGAGATCATGAAAAGCGTTATGGAGAGAAACAAGATGCTCAGGAAAAGCACGTAAGAATTCCACGTTTTTGACTCATGCTTTGTTGTTTTACTGTTAAATGACTCAAACTGAATGTGTGTGTTGATAGGAAGAAGGCAGAGAAAAAAGAGAAGAAGAAGGCGAAGCAGAAAGCTGGGAAGAAGAAGCAAGGTGTTGCTCAGGAAATGACTTTTGCATTCAAGAACAGGACAGAGGACAGAATGAGAAGTATGCCAGCAAGGTACCAAAACTGGCAACCCCAAACTTCCGGGCAGGGAGGCAACTGTGTCGTTGCTCGGAACAAGGAGAACAAAATGTTTCAAGCGCAAAGACCAGTTCAGGACGGAGAACCGCCGTTTCACAATCCAAACTGGATGCCGGTTCATCCACCAGGAATGCCAAGCGGTTGGCCTTTTAATTCCCAGTTTGTTCAGTATTCCTTCAGTTCTCCAGCCAACCCCCCAAGCTATCCCTCCCATTTGGGTGACCACCCCCAGTCAAGATTCCATCACAATCAGGCCAGCAGACATTTTGAAGGGCCAAATCACCACCAAGTGGGTTCTTCTGACGTGCAGATACCCAATGCAGGCAACTTTTCCAATGCATATGATTGTTCTTATAATGTTTCTGCTGGTGGTCTGATCCCTGAAAAGGGAGTGGGTCAAATCCAAAGTGAGAAAACCGATTCCTCTCAGCCATCAAGCTCTTCAGCTCCGCTTGCTTCAGCGAACAAAGCCGCTCCCGTGCGAGACATCGACGTCTCATCCGTCCTGAAGCAAATCAGGAGGGAGCTCGGCGTGAGGGAGCCATGCAGAGCTGATCGGGAAGCCCGGAAGCAGAGCAGGATGGTATATGGGAACGCCGTGCATCAACTGGAGTTGGAGCAGCCAGCAGGTACCACTCCAGCTCCAGCCGTTCTTTCTCCACAGGCCAGAACGTCTGCTGTCATTGGGCCAAAGCAGACAAAAGAAACAAGTGGATTCCATCAGACGAGTTCGGCTGCAGCGGACGGAGACGTCAGCGGCAGGGAAGAAGAGTCTCGTGTAAGAAATAGTTCAGCTTCTGAGCCCAACCTGAGCACCGCCCGTAAAATCCGAATTGCCCACAAATCAGCTGAAGGGAAGAAGCTGACACCAAGTAAACCGGTCCTGGACAAGTTGTTGAGCTTCTCAGGAGCCAAGAGTAGAACAAACTGGGAGGCGATGTACGGCAGCACAAAGAAGAGGCACTTAAAAGACAAGCAGCGGTGAGGACGCAGACATAACTCGGTGTGGTTTTAGTTATTTTCCTGTTGGTGATGTCACTCGTTTATTTTTTTAGGTTTGGAACTCGGCTGGTGAACCCCCCGACCGATAACGGCTCTGCACAGGATGCTGACCTGCCTCTGTCTCAGGGCTTCCACTGGGAGACGCTTTCAGACAATCCTTCAGTCCTTCCTTCGAACGACGGACTCACCGAGACACAAACCGTCTCTCAGAAGCAGGACACTAAAAAGTCACCCGATGCATCTCAGGCAGCTAGAGTTGCTATTAAAAAAGAACTAAACACTGAAGATGAGCCGATTACTGGAAAGAGGGAACGTGACAGCGTGGCGGTAAGTCAAGTTTTATGTTGTAGAGCACCGATGATTATTGGTGGAATCTCATCGTTGTGTTTTATTTGTAGGCTGACGGTGTTTCCAGTAATAAGAAGAAGAAAACAAAATCAAACAAGGGTAATTCTGGTTAATTCGTTTCTCTATAAACATTTTTTAGGCCAGTGAGAGAAAAAGTTAACCTAAATAAAATTTAATATTGATCTAACAAAATATGTTCTTTTTTAAAGAGCAAGTCACCCCTACCAGATTTTTACTCAACTCCCACTTCCTATTGAAAAACGCAACAAATGCTGTTGCCTAGTAGACCGAGAGGGTGGAGCCGCAAACACACACACACACACACACACACACACACACACAGGCTCACAACGACATTGTGACATCATATGGTACCAGCTAACATTCTAGGGTACCTCTTAGCCAAAAGCGATGGCAGATTTAAATTCAACTGCAGTGCAGAGTTTTTACCTGACAATGGCACAACACTTGACAGTTTTAGGCAGAAAATTAAAATTTTAACTAGGGCCGTGACTCAATTAAAAATTTTAATCTAATTAATTAGAGGCTTTGTAATTAATTAATCTAAATTAATCACATTTTTAGAGTGTTTCTGTTTTAACTTAACCTTCTGTTTTCAACTTTAAGACACGTTGCTTGTGATTGTTTATAGAGTAGTGAGAACACGGAGCGTTCTCCCAGCAGCAGCCAGGTGCCTCTCGTTTGTCTGACTACTTTCGTAAACTACTGTTAGGGCAAAGAATTATTCTGTCTGGAGCTTTCAGCGCTGCACATGTAACGTAAATGTTAAAAATATAGTTTACCGCAACTTTTGTAAAGTTTCAGGTGCCACCGGGCAGCTGCAGAAGAGACGATCTCTGAAAAATGTCCGCGATACGGACTTCGTTGTTGTCTGGAAGTTTTTTTTTTCCCAAGTTAAGAAAAGAGGCGGACGTGTTTCCTAAATCCTGCATCAGTCCAAACAAGGCAACTTCTTTCTGTTTTTATTCCGTTTTAGTAGCCATTAGCACTGTGCATTGTTGTGTGCGTCAGTGATATTCGGTCTACAAGGAAATTGTGCAATAACAAAGGTTCCGCCTTTCTCGAAACGCAAGCTGTGATTAAATGCATTAATTTTTTTTAACGAGTCATTTTTTTCTAATTAATCATAATTAACGCGTTAAAGTCCCAGCCCTAATTTGAACTAAAATGCACTAAAGTGCAAAACTATTGACGACACGTGTCGGCAGCACGATTAGACACACATTTATATAGTTGATCAGAAAAAAGAAGTTGATTTGGGGGTGACTTGCTCTTTAAATGACTTGTTTTGGGAGAGTTTAAAATGCAAACTAAATTTCTTACAATTATTTTTGTCAATTTTCAAATAGTATGTATTCACTGTTGGTGAATGGGCCGCCTGGGGGTGTGAGGGCGATATGGCGGTGTTAAATCATGAAGGATTTGATTATGTTGACAATCACAATGTAGAATTGTCATATTTTGTCTGTCCAAGACAACTTGTGGTCAGGATATGGTCAACAGGAACTCACAGAAGTCATCCTCGATGCAGGAAAAAAGTACTGATGTAACAAGTAACTTACCTGTTACCATGTGTGCATGGGGGAGATGGATCCTTAGGAGTGAGAGAAGACTTTGATCAAATAATTAAAGACCTTAAAATACTTAATAATGGTCTTGAACTCAGAACAGCTGAGTTTGTCATCGCACAGACCGCAGCAGAAAGACTAGTCCCAGATTGCTCAGGTGGGTCACACCTGACTTCTTCCTTACCTTTTGTGAAGGTCAAACCAAAAGCTCTCCCCATCTTTAGTGGGAGGGAAAGAGATGATCAGTTAAAATCTCTGTCCACCAAATTCATATAAAAATAATAAATATTTAGTTTTAGTTAGTATTTAGTAATAATAAAACACTTGTTTTGTTTCTTAGATGACTCCTAATGCATTGATTTATCTGCAGACCCGAGTCAGATGGACCAACTGTTGGCCGTCTCGCTCAGGGAGGACGAGCTGAGCTTCTCCTTGCAGGATTTGGACAAATCTCTGATCCAGGCCCGGACCGCTCTGCAAGCTGCCTACGCCGAGGTCCAAAAACTTCTACTTCTCAAGGAACAGGTGCAAATGAAAAAATCTTCTAAACCCATACACGTTGCTTTTATTATGTTAAATTTACAAATGAGTCTTCTGTTTCAGATGACTTCAGAGGTCAACAGTCTAAGAACAAAACGCATTGAGATCCTGCAGGGAATGCAAGGTACACAACCTGTGTCATTTAAAAAGAACAGCACTCTAATGGCTTAAAAGGAACGAATTAAGGAACTTTATTTCTGGAATCATGAACAAACCCAGTAATACCAGTTCTAGTATGGCTATATTGGGATTAAGATGCTGTTGAGGGTCACCTTAACTGTGTTTCTTTCCAGTGGGTTACTCCAAAGCTTCCAGTCCAGCAGGAACCACCTCACCATCAGGCGGCGCTTCCATCGTGCCGCCAGCTTCCGTTTTCACTTCAAGTGACTTCTCTACCTCCACGAGCCAGCAACCACCTGCTGCCACCCCGACGTCATTTATCACCCAATCTCTTCCAGCTCCTGTTGCTCACCCACTTGTGTCAGTAAAACAGGAAGTCAATCCTGTACTTGTTCAGGCCGATGCCCCCTTTTTCCCCTCAAATCTGCTCCAACAGTCGCACTCAGCTCCTTCTTCCTCGGCTGCTCGGCTCGCAGCAGAAAGCTCTGCATCATCGACTGAATCATCTGCCACTAGGGTTAAAATCCAGATGGAGCTGCAGCGATCTGAGAGCGAGTCTGTGGAAGAAGTCAGGGGAAGTCCCAAGAAAGGAAATAACAAACCTGCTCCTGAGCAACAGAGGACAACATCTGAAAGGAGCGACGGCGGCGACGAGAGCGACAGCTCGGTGGAAATGATCGACTCCTCCATCCTGGAGGTCATAGATGTGGATGAGTCTGACGGCGTGAGCTCCGTTCAGCCCGAGGAGCCGTCTGCGAGCGTAGAGCTCACATCTGTGAGCACTCAGACGTCTCAGAAAAGTGAAACGGACAGGTACGTTTAGATCATTTCATCCATGCAAATGTTTACTTTCATCCCAAATGAATAAACTTGTTTGTTCTCTCAGCAAATTTCAGCCTCCAAAAGATGCTGACATCCCTCCAGGTGAGTCGTGTCCCTTCCTTTTGTTTTAGATTTACTTTATAAAGAAAATGTGCTGAAAAAGATTTTTATTCCAGAGTCTGCCGAGGCCGACGAGCCATCTTTAGGAGCTTTTTCAAGTCACGAGGGCCCGGTCCACGGCCTGCAGGTCCACAACGGGCTCTTGTACACGTGTTCAGGGGACAACACGGCTCGTGCCTACAGTCTGATGGTGGGTTGAATGGAGATCCCTTTCATAGACGTCTACGCAGATCTAAATAATCACTTTCTGCAGATTTGAGCTGAGATACGCACATGCACATCCTCCCTTCTTATCTCGCCTTTCCCGGGATCCACTGATTTGCTTTTTTACTATTCATTTTCTCTGTCCCCGCCCCTTTCCCTACATTTTCAATCACAATATTTATATTTTTCTTTAAACAAATTGGAAATCATATTTTGAGATCTTTTATGCTTTAATTTTGATTTAGTGAAGCGCCTCATAATTTTTATCTTGAGGTGCTATATAAAAGATCGTTTTCTTTCTTTCTTTGTCCAGGTTTTAGTGAAATGCCTTTTTTTTTAATTAAATAAATTGTTTTTACCATACCGTATTTTTTTTTTTTGTAAAATCACATTTAAAAACCAAAATGCTGCACAGGTTAAAAACTTCAAAGAGGATTAAAATTCACCTTCATACAGAGAGTGCATGTTTAACAGTTAGAAAATAAAACGGATGAGATCAAAATGTCCAGGAGACATTCATGAAGCAGATCGGTTGACCTCGACAGATTTAGAGCTAAATAGATCTGACAGTCATCAGCATAAAGATGCTAATTCAAGCCATGCTTTGCCAAAATGTTTCCCAGTTAGCAGAATGTAAATAGAAAAAAGGAGTGGACCCAGAACAGACCCCTGGGGCACCCCCCAGGGGAGTGGGGGGGTGCCCCAGGGTCAGCCTAAATGCAGACTGAAAATGATGAAGCAGAGAGGGATTTTCTAGATGAAGTAATAGCTGAGCATGTACCACATTTGTATTTATTTATTTATTTTTATTCCAGACTAGAGAATGTGAAGCGGTTTTCCACGGTCACACAAATAAAGTCAACTGTCTGCTGGTGTCGTCACCCCCGAACATGCTGGCACGCCTCTACACCGGGTCCAGCGACCAAACCATCCGCTGCTACAGCCTGAAGGTACAACTCTACAAAATAAACCATTCAGCATCAAGTTTTTATTTAGAATTTTTTTTACAAAAAGTCCCTGTTTGTGATGTCACAGAAGGGGAAAGTAGAATAGAACCACCTCTGACATGCAGGAGAGAGCCGCTGCTGCTGGAGGAGCAGCTCGCGGCTTCTCAGCTTACAGCATCATCGGCAGGAAATGGGTGGGCGTGGCCAGCTCCAGCTTGTTTTCTTAAAGTGACAAACAAGAAAGTGCTTCCGTTTGAGAGAAGGCATTTATCATAGTCATTGTTCATCCAAGCGGGTTCTGACATCTGCATCCGCTCCTCCCGGAGGAGGCAAGCCCTCACATTGAACCCCCAAGAGAAGAGGAAAAGGGGGCGGTCTAGAAATACGTGGTGTCGTGATGTGGAGGCAGATGTCACGTAGATGGGAAAGACATGGGGACGGCTGGAGAGACTAGCCTAGAACCAAGATGCCTGGAAGGAGCTGATTGGCGGCCTGTGCTCCCGTCGGGGTCACAGGAGTAGAGAGAGATTGTTCATCCAGACATAATGAAGCTGCAAGATGGATCTCTAAAGTCCCATGCACATTTTTCAAAACCTTTTTCTCTTGTAATTTTAATGTTTTCGTTATGATTTTATTTAATTTCTAGTCTAAGAAGTGTCTGGAGAAGATCTCGCTACCAGACAGGGTCTTTTGTTTGCACATCGCCTGGAATATTTTATACGTCGGCCTCGCCAACGGATCAGTCATCAGCTTAGATTTAAAGGTGAGTTTGCTCTGCTGCGTCAGCTTTAAAAAAAAACGGTGATTGAAATCATCCTAATTTGTTGTCTTTTGTCTCTAACGTCAGACTCTGAAGGAGCTGGATGTGTTCGAGTGTCACGGCCCGCGAGGGGTGAGCTGTTTGGGAACGGCTCAGGAGGGGGCGAGGCGGCTGCTGTTGGTCGGCTCGTACGACAGCACCATCAGCGTACGGGACGCCCGCAGCAGCCTGCTGCTGCGCTCGTTGGAAGGTCACACCAAGACTGTGCTCTGCATGAAGGCAAGAACAACCGATGGATCTACGTCCAGATAAATGATTAGTTTTAGATCTATTCCACCTGACGAGTTGTGTTTTTAGGTGGTGAATGACCTGGTCTTCAGCGGCTCCAGCGACACGTCGGTCCACGCCCACAACATCCACGTAAGAGTTTTAGATCATCCAGCAAACGGGTTTCGTTTACGTGTTTTTGCTTTTTAACGTCGTACTCTCCCCGCCCGTTGTCACAGACGGGTGAGCTGGTTCGGATCTACAAAGGTCACGGCCACGCCGTCACATCCATCGTCATTTTGGGGAAAGTGATGGTGACGGCGTGTTTGGACAAACTGGTTCGGGTTTATGAGCTGCAGGTATTTACAGCTTTGATTCATGGTTTTTGTGAAACTTTTACTTTAGCAACCTTATTTTAATTTTGGGTGAAATCTGAAACTGTGTTTTTCTGTTCGCAGTCCCACGATCGTCTACAGGTGTATGGAGGTCACAGTGACATGGTGATGTGCATGGCTGTGCACAAAAGTGTGGTAAGTGGTCTGAAACTGGGTCAGACGCGTTTGTTTCATGTAAAGATGTATGAATACTGATTACTCCTCACAGATTTACACCGGCTGTTATGATGGCACCGTTCAGGCTGTGAAACTAAACCTGATGAGGAACCACCGGTGCTGGGTGAGAACCGGAGTCCGATGATGCCTTTAACCTGCTATCAGCCTGTCTTTAAGGACTTTAATACTCGTCCATTCGTCTCCCATCTAGTGGCAGAGCTGCTCTCTGATCTTCGGCGTGCCGGAGCATCTCTTGCATCACCTCGTCACAGATCACAGCAATCTGAATCTGCAAACGGTCAAATGTCGCTGGAAGGACTGCAACGCGTTTTTCGCCACACAGCAGGCGGTCAAACAGGTGAGTCATCACGGAGTCTAAACAGGAAGTAATTTTCTGTAAGCCTACTGGTTTTATTGGGAACACTGATGCACATTTCTGAGTCAGAAACTGGAAGCGAGTAGTCTTGCAAACCATCCTATAAATGTCTGACCACCCCCCACTGACAGGTCTCAGTTATCATACATGCACGGTTCAATCATGAGGCCTTCCTTGACATGTTTGAGATGTCTGTCACCGCCTGCCAGGTAGGGTTGGGCATCAAGAATCGAGCATCGATTGGAACCGGTTCCAACTGTTCATTTTTCCTGGAATCGCTCAACGTTTTTTATTTTGATTCCTAGTTTCGATTCCTAGAATGCCGACGGAAGAGGAATCCGCGGCCGATCTCCGTGAAAAATAAACGTGATCTGCAAATCGTGATCAACGCTTTTCAGAGCTGATCACACCAGCTGTCTTTGTGCAGCACCCCCCACCCCCCCACCCACCCACCCACCCGGCGCGCAGCGGCCGAATCTAAACAAACGCGTCTGCCGAACTTTTACTCCCTAATGTAAACTTTAACTCCTGCAGCGTAGAGGAAACTTGTTAAATACGTCAACACGGTGGATTTAATAGAAGCTTTAAAGAACAAACTCTGGACGGTGTGAGGTGAGTTTGTCTCACTGCAGAAATAAAAACACACGGAGCGTCAGCAGTCAGACGCGTGAGCGTCAGAAGGCTGAACAGTAACCTGTAGAATAATTAAAGTCATCATGCTAGAGCAGCTTCTCTGTGGTGGACCACACCAGCTTCTGCCACGATAAATAATAATAATAATAATAATAATAATAATAATAATAATAAATCACACACAAAGTTGTGAACATTATAATTTCCTTTCTGAACTGTTTCTGTTGAGTTTTAATATTTAAATCTGTTAGATTGTTACTGACAGCAGCTACGTTCCTGTTCTGACTGAATGCTGCTGCAGCATGGAGGTGTAGTTCTCAGTCATCCTGGACATGATCATCCTGAGAGTTTCAGCTGAAAACAGCTGGACGTTACTGGATATGTTGGAGACATTTAGCCTCTCATCCCAGAGGCTTCTTCCACACTTTGGTTGTGGTCAGAAACAAACACACTGGTTGTGCTGCAAGTCTTTTTCTTTTTTTCTCCAAAACATGTTTTTGTCTGAATGAAGGTGATGTTGTTGTTCATAGAGTTAAAATTCATGTTGAAGTTGAGATTATTTCATCAAGTATGACCTGTGGTTAGCTGGCCTATGTAAAGCACGTCATGTCTTCAAAGAATCGGAATCGGGAATAGATAGGAACCGGAATCGAAACTGGGAATCGGAATCGTTCAAAATCAAACGATGCCCAACCCTACTCCTGAGGACTGGGGGCTGCGCCTCCTCCCCTTGCTGATAGAGGTGGCACACGTAGTGGCAGCAGGACTCCCTGCCATGACACATGTCTACAAGGACATAAAACATGCCATACTGGACCGGTTAGGGTGCAGCCCGGAGGACCATTGCCATCGTCTCTGTGTGGCCAGAATGAGGGCGCAGGACTGGCCCTTTGCCTAGAGGCTCCGGGACGCTGCGTAACAGTGGCTCCGCCCCAGAAAGACCGCTGGTGAGCTGGCCAGGCTGGAAGCGGTGGTGTTGGAACAGTTCCTGGAGCCACTCCCAGCCGGGATCCAGGGGTGGGTTTGATGACACCATGCCACTATTGTACGGGCTGTGGTGACCCTGGCGGGGGACTACCTGGAGGCCCAGAGGCCCGAGACAATGCCAGCACACCCAACTCTTGAACCACGCCAACTCCAACCCCCCCAAAGGAGTGGACGGGCCTAATGGGGCAACAGCACCTCCTGTCAGAAGCTAGAGACGGGATTGACCTGTCGTACACCAGGACGCTTGCATGACTGGGCCGGGCAGGATGGACCTGCGAGGTTCTGGCCTAGGAACGACTGACGTGTCGGACAAAGGAGGAGAGACATGCAAAATGTAAACTTACCCCAAAAAATGACAATTCATAACTGACACAGAAACGCTTAAAATTATGTAAATATCCCTTTTAAACTCTTTTTTTTGTCTAAAAATGTGCAAATTTGAAACATACGCCAGTTAATTAACCGTGGCACAATAAACGTCATTTTGATACATTCCAGTGTATTAAAAGATGTGCTTTCATGTTTGTGTTTCATCTGCAGGATCTGCCTGATCACTTGCAGAACCACATAGACAAAGACAGTAAACAGCATCCCTGAGACGAGGACTCCCGTTTTAACCCTGTGTTGCTCTTTTTTCAAGTCTGGCTGAACGACACAAAGCTTTCATTTTCATGGAAGCTGTTGGATCACTAAGAGTGTTTTTAAAAATGCACCACTTGCACAAACATGCCAGAACTGTTGAGGAAATGACAGTTTTTCTTGTGTAAATTACAAATAATTTTCATTCACTGTGAGACAAAAGTAGCGATAATTTATTTCTTTGAAGCTTCTTTGCCCAAACGGGTACATTCATTCCCCACAATGCAACTCAGTCATTAGCTAATTAACTTTGTGCAGATCAATAATTTTGTCAACATTTCATTCTAAGAAAGGAGAAATAAAAAATATTGACACAAGAAGTAATTTTGCTTACTGAAAAATAAAGTTTTTCGTCATGACAGGTGTTCATGTCTGGTTGTTCAATATTTTTGTTGTGCTGTTAGAATATCTCATTTTAATTACCCTTTTCCCCCTTTTTTATTCAGCCATAACAATTCACAAATCACACACAAAGGGTGAGGGGGGGGGGGGGGGTGTCCACATTTAAAGGTGGTCAAAAACTTGTAAATAACTCATGAAAGAATAAAGTTAATTAACACCAAGCACACTGTTGTTTTTCTTGTGAAATTACCAATAAGTTTGATGTGTCACATGACCCTCTTCCTATTGAAAACACAAGTTGGATCCCAGATGGCAGACTTCAAAATGGCTACCATGATCACCACCCATCTTGAAGTTTGCTGCCTCAAATATACTAATGTGCCACAAACAGTACGTTAATATCACCAACCATTACCATGTAATTATCTATATAAATGACCCACCCTATTCATAGATGTATATATCATACATACGTACATCATATATATATAATAAACATATATATACATATATACATGATATACATACAGTATATGTACATCTCATATATATATATATACTGTATATGATAAACATCAATATATGTATATCATATATATATATGTTTATCATATATATACATATACATACAGTATATGTATATCACATATATATATATATATATATATATATATATATATATATATATATATATATGATATACATATACTGTATGTACATCATGTATATATCTATCTATAAATCTATATATATACATATATATATATATATATATATATATATATACATATATACATAGATTTATATACATGATATACATACAGTATATGTATATCATATATATATATATGATATACATATACTGTATGTATATCATGTATATATATATATATATATGTATATATATATATATACATATATATATATATATATATATATATATACATAGATATATATATATACATGATATACATACAGTATATGCATATCATATATAGATAGATATATATACATGATATACATACAGTATATGTATATCATATATATATATATATATATATATATATATATATATATATATATATATATATATATATGATATACATATACTGTATGTATATAATGTATATAAATCTATGTGTATATATATATATATATATATATGTATATATATATATATATATATATATATATATATATATATATATGTATGTATATATATAGATTTATAGATAGATATGTATATCATGTATATATATCTATCTATATATGATATGCATATACTGTATGTATATCATGTATATATATGTATATATATATATACATAGATATATATACATGATATACATACAGTATATGTATATCATATATATATATATGATATACATATACTGTATGTATATCATGTATATATCTATATCTATATATCTATATATATATATATATATATATACATATATATATATATACATAGATATATATACATGACATACATACAGTATATGTATATCATATACTGTATGTATATCATATAGTGGCCAAACGTTTGGACACACATCATTCAATGGGTTGTCTTTATTTTCATTACCTTTTTTTATTTCATTCAAAGTGTAAAATAAAAACTAACAACCATAAACATCAACACCAAACAATATGAATGAAAAGGGGCAGAAGGAAGACTTATCTTATATTATCTGCCCCATTTACAAACCAAATGCTTAAACAATACGACCATGCAATTCTCAAGAAACAACAAAACAGAAATTCATCTAATTATATTCTTCTAATGTACAGACCTTCCTTCACAACGTCATGCTTTCTCCTTTCCTTGCAGACGGGTGAGCTGGTTCGGATTTACATGGGTCATGGTCATGTTATCAAGTCAATAGTCATTTTGGGGAAAGTGATGCTGACGGCACGTTTGGACAAACTGGTTCGGGCGTATGAGCTGCAGGTATTTACAGCTTTGATTCATGGTTTTTGTGAAACTTTTACTTTAGCAACCTTATTTTAATTTGGGGTGAAATCTGAAACTGTGTTTTTCTGTTTGCAGTCCCAAGATTGTCTACAAGTATATGGAGGTAATAGTGACATGGTGATACGCATGGCTGTGCACAAAGTGTGGTAACTGGTCAGAAATCAGAGCCGTGTCCAGGACTTTTAAAATGGGGTGGCCCATGTGGGGCACTTGTTTATGCATGGGTGGCACCAATGGTTATGCGACGGTGGCACAGGAGTTAAGTGCTCACCCCGTAATTGGAAGGTTGCAGGTTCGAGCCCCGCTCAGTCTGTCGCTGTCGTTGTGTCCTTGGGCAAGACACTTAACCCACGTTGCCTGCTGGTGGTGGTCGGAGGGACCAGGGCAGCTGTGGCTACATCGTAGCTCATCCCCACCAGTGTGTGAATGTGTGTGAATGGGTGAATGACTGATTGTGTTGTAAAGCGCCTTGAGGGGTTCCATGACTCTATAAGGCGCTATATCAAATACAGACCATTTACCATTTATTTATTTACACAAATCTTTTATTTATTTATTTACTTTCTAGTGAATTTTGGAGTTTCACATTGCACAATCACAATTTTTTTCTATTCATCTTCTAGTTTTGTGGTGGTTAGCAAGTCACTTCTTGTTGCATTATTGCCACCAACTGGAGTTGAGTGGGACTCTAAATACTATTTATGTGAATATGAAAAAATAATAAATAATATTAATGCTACAGAAATGTTCTGTAGGCCTGGGCTAGAAGACAATGTTAAAAGTGCATGCTACCACACACTATTTTTGGAGTTTACAACTCAAGCCTTTTGTCGACAATGTAAAGTCAATTTAAACTGGCCAATCAGATTCTAATGGGCCGTTCCCATCTGTACCGGGTCGGCCCGGGCCGGGTAGCCCCAGTCGGCCCCAGCCTGGCCCGGTTGATTCCACACATCCTTGCCTTAAGCCCATGTGGGCTGATTCTACCCACCAATCAGAGGCTTGCTCTAATGGAAGGTGTGAATTTGCTGTCAGCAGTGGGTGTGTTGGCCCTGGTCGGCCTGAAGCAGACCCCCTCGAGAAGACGGCTGAGAATGAGCCTTGGTTGACCCGTAAAAATACCAGGCCACCTAGATATGTAAACAACCTACGCTACCCGGCCCGGGCCGACCCGGTACAGATGGGAATGGCCCACAAGGGTGGCATGTGCTACCCCAGCCCACTCCCTGGACACGCCCCTGTCAGAAATTGAAGTTTGCTTTAAAGTTTATCCTCACAAACCTCGACACATGACTCTTATATAATCAGAAATACACTCAACACACCTGGTTTTAGTGTCACAACTTTGCTTTAATCACCTAAAATGTGCAAAACTCATCATTTTTGAGTCTTACGAAGTGCATCGACAAAGATCTACTGAAGGGAGTAGCGTCTAGGAGTACATGGTCAGTTGAAGCCACTAGAAAGGAAAAAGAATTAAAAATATTAGCACAAAAGCAATTTTCCTTACTGAAAAATAAAGGTATTTTCATGACAGGTGTCTGTTCAAGTCTGGTTGTTAATATCTTATTTTAATTACTTTTTTATCCTTTTTATTCGGCCATAAAACAGATCACACACAGAGGATGAAAAGAAAAGAGGGGCCTTTTGACATGTTTAGAGACATTTTGTCTTGGCTCCCAAAATGCCTTGAAACAGCAAATATTGCATGTTTATTAATTACTGCTTTATAAAGGTAAAAAGGTGTAGCGGGATACACCTGCCTATGTTTTCCATTTCAAGTTCTTAGTTTTGTTTTCCTGTTTTTTATTTGACTATTTTCCTGTCTTGCCTGACTCTTATCTTCCTGCATCTCATGCCAATCCACCATATCATACCATATTTATTTATCAAAGCACATTTTAAAACAGCGTGTCAGCTGACCAAAGTGCTGCACAGGGTAAAAACGTAGACATAAAAACACAGGATTAAAATTCACCTTCAGACAGTGCATGTTTAACAGTCAGAAAAAACAGATAACATCAGACAATAAATAACTAAAATGTCCAGGAAAAGGGCTGCCTGGCCTCATGGGCTACTTTTGAGCGTACTAGATTAAAGGGATCTACCAACCGCAAAAATAGTGGAGTGCGCGATAATGGCAGTGAGGTGAAGTCACCGGAGCACGTCAGGCATGAATAAAAGACAGAAAGTGCCAGAGAATATGAGCGGACATGAACGATCTTGTGTTTTTTTGGTGGTGTCACCTTGAGAATGTTACTGTGGCTATGCACAGGACACAGCTGCAAACATTCAGCGCTCTCCCGCTCAAAGGAATCTGCAGTACACTGAGAGTCCACATAAACAATGAAATATACATAGAAACTATATCTTTTTTGGGCTTCCCCTGGGTATGTAAGCCAGGCTCCCCTTAGACAATAATTCTTAAAAATGTAATGGTGAGTACTTGTTCTATTTCTTTGCCATCGATTGTATTATTAACTTCCTTGTTTCCAAATACGGTATATTTCATTTTTGTCAGATTCACTGAGAGTTTGTTACGATCAAACCATCTGTTTAAAACAGCGAGTTCTTTATCGAGAACGGCAACAAGCTTATTTTGGTCATCACCAGAGTAATAGCTCTGGTGTCGCAGAACGCAATAGATAGTTCAATAGGGAGCCCAAGTCACGCCTGTCTACTTCTGGACCATGGGTCCCCGGAAGAACGAAAAAATGAATGCAAGCGGGGCTAAAAACGCTATTTTCTTATTCCACTTAAGTGCGATGGATTTCACATATGATGTCCATGAATTTTAACCCTCCCACTGTCTTCATGGGTGACCCCGTCAGGAAAGTTGACCATTGAGCAGGATTGATGGTTTATTCCTTGAGGTCCATGTGGCAGGGGTGAGGAGTGAGCACTGGAGTTTTTATATGTCGGCCTTGCCAACAAATCGGTCATCAGCCTAAGTGGGGTGAGCTGTTTGGGAATGGCTAAGGAGGGCACGTCGGTGGCTGCTGGTCAGCAAAATCAGTTATCAGTTAATAGTTTTGTAAATAAATCATTGTAAGTAGTTTTTCACGAGTGGTTGTTTGGGATCTGTGATCCATCGTCATTTAGGGGAAAGTGATGGTGACGGCGTGTTTGGACAAACTGGTTCAGGTTTATGAGCTGCAGGTATTCACAGCTTTGATTTATTTTATTTGTTAAATTTTTACTGGAGCAACCTTATCTTAATTTGGGGTGAAATCTAAAGCTGTGTTTTTCTGTTTGCAGCCCAACGATCGTCTACAAGTGTATGGAGGTCACAGTGACATGGTGATGTGTGTGGCTGTGCAGATATGTGTGATAAGTGTTTGAAACTGCGTCAGACACATTTGTTTAATGCGGAGCAGGGGCGGATTTAGGACTGAAGAAGATCCGGGGCGTAACACCTATATTTATGTCGATGCTTAACACACACACACACGCACGCACACGCGCGCGCACAC